GGGCTTAAATGAAGACGGTTTTATAGGATCTGGCTCGTAAGTCGCGGGTTCAAATATCCCTCATCGTGTGATTTTTTTGCATTTAATTCTTGATATCTCTCCCAAGACTGGCCACAACTCTTATTGTGGCCGTATCAGTACTTTGGATCGGTACAGTTGTATTTTCAATTTTAAGATTCATTTAACTTCATTATGCATAACCTATAGATATATTATATTAATGATTATTAACGTTTTCATATTATATTCTTCCTTAGCCGTGTTGAAAAATCCTGATCAAGGTAAAGACAAAGTATGGACTGAATTATATTTTATAAAGTGGCTACTTCAGTGTCCAACGCGTATCTGTATCTACTTCAGCGTCATATGCTGTGATTAGTCTAAATATTGAGTACCTATTGACTAACAGTTTGAAACCCTAAGACTGCTGACTTGATAACCGACTTAATTAATATGTTAATTGTAACATAGGCATTATTATAGTATTGCATTTTCTCCATTTTAGGATTGTATAATGCTGATTAAACTATTGTTAACGACCAATTTTATAATAGGTACCTACCTGAAATGGCAGCCTAGACCTGGAATCACACTCATGGTGTCAAACGTCCACAGTAGCAAATACAATTATTAAAGCGAATATTTAATAGTTGATACAATACCAATTCACGTCGATATACTTAGCTTTATCGTATGAGTACATAAAATATTACGATTTAAAAATTCTTCTACATCACACACAAATTGAAATATATTCAAAAAAGCCAAAGCGCAATCACATATATTTCTCTTAACTTTAAGTTTGATAATAGGTTTAATCACTCTAGTAATACATTTTAATATTAAAAAATTGGTACTTCTGAACGAAAAATGTATACGTAGAGCAAATAAATAATATGCAGACTTCTGAAATCCTCGTCAAACTGACATGAAAAAAGAAACAATGGCTTTGCAATAACTGTAAAGTGGCTAAGAAATAAGTAAATAACTAGGTATAAAAATAAAAAAATATCCAAGCTTATATTAATTATATTACCTAAAGCATAGTTGTTTCATTATTAACAACATATATTAACCATCAATCAACTATTTAAGTTTTTCCTTTATAATTTTGATCGCTACAGACTACGGTGGACGTTCCACACCATAACGGCGATTTACGCTTATAAACCAGAAATGCTGAAATTGGTCGGAACCAAAAATATAACCATCCTTTAATAATCTATGATCTGATAAATGAATATCATAGAATAGAATGTCATATTGACGCCCCTGTTTCAATTTAAATTTTCTTTATATTCAAATCAGTGGTGATAATATTTCAATTTGTTAGTTAAAATGTAGACTAATAACAGCGTAAGACGCAAAGATAGGTAGATGAAATATAAACTTCCTACAATTTGATTAAAACTTTTATAGATAATTTTTAGAATTCTAAACTGCAATAATTATAAATATAATTTAAAAATGTAGTTTCTAGCAGCACATTTAAATTCCATTATATTATTTATAGATGCCATTGGTACATTAGATCTGAAAATGCAAGGTAAATTATTTTGTCACTTCCACTTGTAACCGCATCCTTACAAATGTTAGTATTGCGACTATATCTATCAGGGACTGGAACCTCACCGAAAAGGACCGGTTTCGAAACCGGAACCCTTTGAATATTAGGAACTCAAACCTCACCGAAACCATTATTTAAATTAATTCAAAAACCGAAACCCATACTTTTACTTGATACATTTTTTTTACATAAGTAAAAAACCAAATCAGTTAACAATTTTTTATTTCTTAAGAACCGAAAAGAAACCGAAACCTAAATGTTAGTTTTACTGGGGACCGAATAGGAACCGGAACCGTAAAAATCATCAAGGTTCCAGTCCCTGCTATCTATATTCCAAAGTCATACAAATACCTTTACTGAATTATATAACCAAAAATACTAAGATTACAAAATTATTTGAGAGTAATTTAAAATTTTTAAAAACTTGTATTTTGTGAATAGATAAAACTTAAATGTGTCACCTAATACACCAATCCATTTACATTTTTATATTTATGTTTGTGAAGTTTAGTCCTTTTTAAGAGCTTATTGCGTACCCTCTAACTAAAGGAAACACTAAACCAGTAACTTATGCGCCTAATCGGATAGTGCCATTGCTAACACTTTGAAAGAGATCATATAGCCATATAGGTTTATACTTAATAAAATAATACAAATAATAATATTAGCAATATAAGTGAATATATGACACTTTAGTGTATAGAAAATTAAAAGGAAATTGTTAATTTATATTAATACGACTCTAATTCAGTAAAATATTATAAATTTGAGTGATTTTAAATCTATTCGGATACTTGTATTTATTTTGTGAGTACATACTACAGAAATATCTTATTAGTTATTTGTGTCTCCTTATATAGGATCTGAAATCCATTTAGATTTTTATATTAAACTCATAATATATAAGTATATATTTTAATAAGGTTATACCTAATAGGTTTGTGAATATAATAAATTATAAATTACCTATAAGGGGAAAAAACATCAATGATTCTAAAACTATTCAACATTATAATTTAATGTTCACAATTTTAAATACATAGAATCTTTTACTTAAATAATATTTTGTCACCTGTGAAAAGTTCAGTTGTTCAATACTGTATAATAACACAATTAAAATCAAATTTGTCAAAAACTGATTTTGTGTAAAATATTTGAGATTTTGTTGTTTTTCCCAAATATCAAAGGAGCGCAAAATGGATTTCGTTAAATTGTATTAAATGAAGAATGTTCTTATCTAAGAAAAATAGTATTGTATAATATTCATAATGTTTTTACTTACATGATTCAATGAGTTGTGAGGGATTGAAAAAATAGGCATGATAATATGATATAGGTATATAATATCATATAGGTACAATGACATATCATTGGGCTGGGGGACCGTGAGGCCAATTTCTTAAAATTTACAATCTTATACGTGAAATAGTTGCTCACACAATAATTTACTTATCTTAAATTTATACTTTAAAATTTTTGTTATATGCTTGTACGCTCTGATGCACCGAGATGCACAGCCGCAAAGGGCAGTTCTTGGTGAACTAACCAATTGGGATTTTTTATTTTCCCACATGGGGTACAGTCAATTGGTTATATGAAATTGGTGGTTTGGAAAATTAGTCGTTTTCAAAATAAAATGTACCTATTTTAAGTAAAAATTATGTTTGGTCGTAATTTTTCTTAAATTAATATGTAATAATATGTGGGAAAATAATTATAAGTTATGAGCTATCACAGATATATTCATCAAATGTTCTATAATTATAAATTTCCAAATGTTAGGGAGAATAGCATTTAATATGGATAAAAAACCATTATGTTATCCTTCTATCGAATTATTGGTTTTTGGAAGGTTATATTCATCAGCATAGCATTCAAAATTGTAATTGAAAATTTGGGATTTTTCCTTTTCCCGTCCCTGTTCATTTTACCAATACACGTTTCTTCAAAATAGTCAAGTTAGTATTTTGGTTACCTCACTTAGAATAGAATGTTCATCTGAATGTATTCTGGCATTAGATTTTTTTTTTAAATTTTCAACACATTTTCATATAGTTTTTTTTATAATTTTTACTTTCAAAACGATATAAAAAACAATCATGCACGAGAATATTTTTTCCTCTTTCACTTTTTATAAAATCTATTTTTTCATTTTTTATTAACTTAATTATTGTCCATTTGTACCTACATAACGTTTGTAAACCAGTATTCACGTTTCACGACGAAAATATAGTACGACTAATTTATCAAACGATCAATTTACAAAACGACTAATTTCAAACAACCAATTTTACCACGACCAATTTGTAAACGACCAGTTGAAGTAAACTCGTATTACAATATTATTTAAAAAAATTAGTATTCATTTGGGGATCGTTATTTATTTATACTAAAAAAAGACTAATCAGTATATTGAAATTCTAATACTTATTTATCATCTATACCTACCAAAAAATCACTCAATTATACGAATATCAAACACCAGAATACAATTTTTAGATCGGTAAATCATTGTGTAAATTGAGCCATTTTTAAACGTGAGTATTAGGATACATGCTCATTATTACATGTTAAAATACTTGAAAGGAGTCTTAAGCTCAAACTTGCTTAGTTTTTGATACCACGCTTAAATAAAAGCATGCAATATACAAAATAAAGCATATTATAGCAAATACATGTTAATAACATGCTAAATAACTTAAAAATAAGTTTAAAATTGCTATGTAAGTTATTGGAGAAATTGATTTAATGCCAGCCAACAATTTAGTATTAAAAACAAATAATCCTTAAAATTAATTTACTTTTGAATAGTTTCATTAAAACAATTAAATATCAATTTTTATTTTAGGTTATGTAGAAGATTACTTCGTTGCTCATATGAATCTATATTGGGATTCTCATAATGGTATGTATTCTAGTGTACTATAATTAATAATATTATTTTTTTGGATTCAATTAAACAATATAAAAGCGATACTATGTGCGTGGATGCTTGACATGAATTGTTTAATTTTCCAGTAACATGATAGCAACAATTTAGGCCGGATAAGTAATAAATAGGTGTAGTTATATATAAAAATGTAAACTGTGATAGATACCTATATCTAAATAAAGTGATAAACTTTATAGAAAATTATATACTACCAGTTCTTATTAATGTATGAATCGATGCAATAACCAACGAAAATATAAATGTGCCACCTCTATATGACTTAAGACAATGGATATTAAATTTCAACACTTTCCGGCCAAAATTAATTGAGAGAGAGATAGCGAATTTTATTAGTAGAATCCTATCAAGATAAATTGTATGCCATAATAATAGTTTTTGGTTTTTAATTTTTTTTTGGAAAGAATATTGGTTTATATATTGGTATAACCCCCGATAAATTTGGTTGCAATAAGGTACATTAGCTACTCAGTGGCTGAAACCATGGCTTTAAATACAAGTGTGGATCACGAATACAGCCAGTATACTCCCAGTCCCAGAGTTCAACAAGGGTCAAGACGAGCACCTAGCTACCATACTCTATTCCAAATAAGACTGGAAAAAATCCCAACGGAAAAGCGTCACGATTTGCGCATGTGCAGTCTCATTGGCTGCGGTTGGCGTGGCCGACTACTGCAGCTCATCACAGCGGTTCTGCCGTTCAGAGTCTGTGCAGTTTTCCAGACTTATTTGGAATAGAGTGAACCAACGGAGATCTTAGGAATCCAACCAAACAGTTACAGTCAAAGACGGCAAGTCGGAGATTATTAAAAATTATTTAAAATCTTATACAGTAATATTATTAACTATAAAACTACCCAAGTTAGTTTAAGTTACATACGGATTAACTATATAATATATAGTAGAACCGTATATTATACTGCACAGTAAATATGAAGTAAAACAAATTATTCTGTATTAATCAGCTTCAAAAGTTGAGTGCTAAATTTTTTAAATGTAGTTATTTAGTTGTTGTTTTTAGTTAGTTTATGCCAATATTGATTATCGCAGCAATCGACAATACCATTTATTCAACACGTATACAGCGCTTATTATATACGAATACTTATAAACTACTTAAATATCGAAATACTTACTTACAGTATCGTCCTCCGAAGTTCGTTGGTTAGCGGGCAGCTGTACTGGTCCCAAAACTAACCAACTTAACATTATGTGTCTCTTTTATATTATATTATAATGTGTACATATGTGTGTACCCGGATGACTATACTGTGTAAGCCTTCTTCCTTATTATTATCTACATCTATATTTGCTATTTATATTTAACTATATAGGTACCATGTAACGGCCTCACACATAATATGTGATCCGCTACAATTTAATGTGGGTTTCTATTGTTTGTAGCTATGAAAATGTTCACAACTCCTGAATTGTGCAAAAAATATTTTTCCAAAACAATAAATGAAGATAACTGAAAATGTACATGAAAACGATTTCAAAAAGATGGAAGAGAAAATCGTCAGCTTATTTTAGTAAAAGTTAATTATCTTGTATGTGGAATTTCGTAATTTAAAAACCCAACTTAACCTGAATAATATAAAAATCCGAGGAAAGGCTAACTTTAGTTTTACTCGTAGGTTACAAGTGCATATCGTCACTTTTAAATTATTTATTAATTCATTTATTGAATTGATGTCTAATTGTTAGTTTAATTAAATGTTTTCAATATTTTTTTTATACTTAAGTAATAACTTTTGTGCAAATATTTAAAATATGTGGCCGTTATAATATTACTCAATACAAATAATAAATACACATGGATTAAATTTTTAAATAGAATTTACGGTTTCACAATAATGTTAAAATATTAACACATCTATAATCTATATAAATAAAAAGGTATTGCCGCATGTTTTTCCTGTCATTACTTGAGAATATCTCGACCGATTTGGCCGATTTTTTTTTCTTATGTTCATTCTTGTGATGACAAGGTTTGTATGGAAGAAAATATTTGGATACTAAAACAAAAAAGCTGGAAATTGCCAATTGGTATGGTATTTTTGACAGTAACGCCATCTGTTAGCGAAATAAAATTTAAAAATATACCAGTGGCACCATCTTTCTAGTAAAAAAATAAAATTTCACAGTTTTAACGCATTCACTTACGTTTTTACAAAATGGTAAAACGTATGAACTAGAAATTTGGAATTCTGATTCCTATGTCTAATGCTTTAGATGTGCAATAAGAAATTATTTTTAATTATTCGCATTTTAAAGATCTCTTCATACAAGGACTCAGTGTCGTACATTCAAATTTGCTCTAGGGGGGTTCAACAAAAATAACCAACACTAAAACCTTCTCCCTAAAACTACCCATTTTCCTAACAATCAAACACATTACACCTATAAATATTAATAGGCAAAATAGTAAAACAAATACAAAGGTTTACATAACTCATGGCAGTTAAATACCTACTATTTAATATGCACATAGTAAGTACAGAATATTATATATATTATATTATTAATTATTTGTAATAAAAATTCTAGTCTCCTTTTTTTATTGGAAACCAGCACTTCATCAGGAGTAATTGAATCATTTTTGTTGATCAAGAGCATAGCTAGACCATTAAGTCTTTCTTATTAAAATTATTTACAACATTAAATTAAGTTGATTATAATCATTAATACTATTATTTAAATTAAACATACCTCAGATGTAGAGTTGCGGAAGTAAGTTTTTATTCATTTGAGAGTTGAGAATGTCCTTTCATTAGTGGCAGAAGAAACTGGTAGAGTTGCTAATATTATTTTAAGTTGTGTTTGAAGTGCACGGGATCAGCTAGTATATTATAATCGGGCCACGTCAATAAGACATAATAATAATATTACGTATTATAAAATATATAATGTTGGTCGGTGACAGCCACAGATATATATTTAAGTTGTGCACGTATCTATTGTGCTTTTAGCCATTGTTAATATAATAATATTGTTATTAAGTGATATAGGTAAGTAGTTCCTATTTTAATATTTTAAATTTTAATGGTTACTTGGATTTTTGTACGCACTACGTACGACTGGATTTAGTAAAAATAGTAGCTATTTTTATTTTACCTAATGATTATAATTTACAATATAATATTACCGAAATAATAATCTCGAGTTCGAACTAGGTGTGCGAATTCGCCGTCGTCGTTGTTCGCCAATCCGTTCGGTCGATGGTCGTTCGGTTACGTCATATCGTAGCACACACACATGCACAGTGTTTGTTAATTCGTAGTTCGGTTATTATTAATTAATCCAAAAGAGAAACAAGCGTTGCGAGGTAAGTGGCGGTCGTTAATATTATATAAACATTGCAAAATAAAAAACAGATTCATCTATCTTGGCCCATACTAATTAATATGAATAAAATAAAGATCGATTATTATTTATTATTATTATTATTATTATTATTATTCACTCACAAATCTATTGTCTGGATAAAAACAATACTACAAACAATTATCCATCGATCTGTCGAATAAAAATATAAAAAAAATAATAAAACTATCAATAATAATTAATAAATAATTAGTACCATTCAAAAGAAGTTTAACTTCCCGTGCGCGTACTGGTAACACACATACTTTTTTTAAGTTGTAATATATTTTCGTTGTTATTTATATATTTAATAGAACATAGAAACATTTTACTTTATAAATAATCCATGAAATAATAATAATAAGTATAGCGGTAATAATATTACCATTCAAAAGTTGGACGCCTTTTGGATCGCTTCCACCTACACCAACGCGAGCGAGGGCAACAGCTGCCTTTAATAGCTGTTTAATAACTGCATAATATTATATTGCTTGATATTGGTTTTCACAATATTGAGTCTAACCACATCGAGAATATTGACTGTTATTATTATTATAAAGATAAGTTAGCTGGGATTTTGATGAAACTAAATTTTTTATGGTGTTTTTTTAAAGCTCCCTAAGTGGAAAATGTGTATTAGCTTAGGTAATAACATAATACTACAATGTTGTGTTAGGGACTGATTATTTTATGATGATGTTTTCATATTGAATTTTGTGCCAGGTCAATCATCGCGAACTTGTTTGCCTATCTTTCTGATAACCGCGTCGAACGTGCGACGTGACCGTTAGACTTCGAATCGACGGCGAACGTGATTGGTCTAATCAAGTCACCAGCAACGGCCCACGTGTGCGTTGGCCTGCATGTCTGTGTACCGGGGTGAACTGAGCTGTGCTTGTCGCCGCCGTCTTTTGACATTCGCCTCCATCATCACGCCGCGGCCCATTACAAGCCTGCATGTGAGTGCCACGGCCGTCCTGGAACGTCGAGCCTGCACTCTAACCAAACGTAACCACTTATCCGCGAGGTATTAACCATAACGATCTGCCGATAGGTATTTAACGTGTTTGCGGTGTGCGAGCTTGTGGACCGGTAATCCTCTCTGTGCGTAACCCCCGTCCGTGTGTCCACAAGTCGTAATTTTATTGATATTTTTAGAAAAAAAACTAAAAAAAAATGGAAAATGAAAATGTCCCTAAACAGTTCAAAATAAATCAAAATATTTTGAAAATGTTATCGTGTATAGAAAATGCAAATATAAACAACCAGTGAAAATTTCATGTATATACGTTCATTTGTTTTGGAGTTACACCAATAACCAAAATCGATTTTTTGGAAAACCAATTTTGCGTAAAAATTCCCGTTTTTCCTTAATTTTTATGTTGTTTTTCCCGGCGCTTGTGAAAACTACTGGGAAATTTATACTTTTGACCCCCCACCCCCCCCCAAATACCAACTAGATTCACTTTCCTATATCAGAAAAGCTACTGTTGATGAAAATCCAAGCACTTTTACTGTTCTAAAACGTGATAACAGACAAAAAAAAAATAAAAAACACACATCATTGTAAAATCAATACATTCATCGTTTCATTCAGAATCTAAAACCTAGAATTACTATTTTAGTTACTTTGTTGTGATTGTATAGGGGAGACTGGCTTAATATGACATATTAGGGTAATATGACACATTGATGTTTTGATTAGAATTATTGATATTTATGAACCAAATCTTCTTTAAATACGTTACATATAACCTCCTACATACAATTGTATACAGCGATCACCGGTTTTGACCTTATCAGAGAATTTGATAACAAAAATGTGTTTTTTGTCTTATCAACATTTTTTAAAAGCATTTTTGAAAATTAATTTTAAAATATTAAACCTTATGTTCCTTCAATTTTTTTTATTCGAAGTTGAACATAAAAAGGCAAGCTATACTACAATTGTTTTATAAATAAGCTTATTATAATACTTTTGCCATAAATACTTTGAAAAAAACTTGTATTATATCAGGCAAAATGACATAGCCGTGCTTATTATTATATTAATTTCATATTTATATTATTATATTAATTATGTTAAATATATTTCTAAAATTTTGTTATTTATAATAAAAAAAATTCATTAAACTATTAAATTCTAAAAATTTTATAATTTATTTCTATTGACCAGTATACAATGGTTGCTTATACAAATATGGTGTATGCCATTTTACCCGACACTCCGGGTAAAATGACATAGTAGGTACATTTAAAAAAAAGTGAATTAAAATTATTTGTTTATATTAAATGTACAATTAGACTTCAGAAATATGTGTATTATATAAGTACTAATATGTTGCTCAAGTTTCATGTGTTAACTAACATTATTTCCTTCATTTTTTTAAAATTAAAAATTTGTATGTCATATTAAGCCAGTCTCCCCTAATATTATTTGTGGGTACTTGAAACTTTAAAGACTTAAAGCACACTATTAGGACAGTAAAAGTGCTTGGACATACTTCAACAGTATCTTTTCTGATAGGAAAGTGAATCTAGTATTGGTACTTTGGGGGGTGAAAAGTAAAAATTTCTCAGTAGTTTTCATAAACGCCGAGAAATGTTCAACTTTTATATCTAAGGATTGAAAATTTAAAACAAGATTCCACGTAAGTAGTTAATTCTGTTACCAAAAAGTCTAAAAAATACAGAAGCACAGTTTATTATTATATTCATTTTAAGTTCAAATTAACCTAACCATAAAATACCTAGAATAACTATTTTAGTTATTTTGTTCTGATTGTTTAATATTATTTATGGGTAAATACTTGAAACTTCTAAAGTCCACTATTATATTATTATATCTATGATAGTATCAGGGTTTGTTGTTTATGTATAACGCGTTATAAGTACCTAATGGATATTGTTATATGATTAATTTGGAATTTATTATAAGTACCTAAATATTATAGGTCAATTTTTTTTAATACCATAGATAAGTATATAATATGTCTTTTACCTAGACTGACATACCGCCTCTGCTCAGAATCGTTTTTCTTATACAAT